CCCCAACAAAGGCCAGGGATGGTGAGGACTATAGTGATCTAGACATTACAATCTTATTCCAATTAAAACTATAGTACATGGGAAAACAAAATCTATATCGGGCCTTCCTGGAGGAGCCAGAGAACAAGGAATGCATACCACTTCCCTATTGCTGTTGTTAGGAAAAACCTACAAATTTAGAAGCTTAGCATAGTCCCAGTTTAGTCTCTTATAGTTCCAGGAGGCCAGATGTCTAAGATCGATGTGTTGGTAGGGCTGTGTTCTTCTGGTGGCTTCAGGGCAGAACACATTTCCTTGTCTTTTTTAGCTTCCAGAGTCTGCTTGCATTGCTTGGCTTGTGGTCCCACCTCACCATTTTTTTTTGACAATACTAAATGTATTTATTTGGTTGAAAATTATCAGAAGTTACTTTAATTTGGCAACAATTGAGTCTGTCTTGACTTGGACTTGTTATTTTTTGTCCCTTCTTACATCACTTAAAACTCTTGCTTTTGCTGTCGTATCCATTGCATTGATCTGCCTAAGTACTCACATGGGGCCAACCAAGAAAATCCAGGATAGGTTGCTCATCTCTAAATCCTTAATTTAATCATATCTGCAAAATCCCCTTTACCACATAAGGAACCACATTCATGGTTCCATGAATTAGGCTGTGGACATCTTTGGGGGCTTTTGTTCATCTATTCAGCCTAACATGCAATAGAAAAATCTTAGCTGATTCAGCAGCTGCTCGCTAAGGGATGTCAGGGATCATGCAAACTCCTGAGGAGGAGGATTAAAGCACCCAAATGAGGGCCTAGGAGTGGACTAGAAACTGGGTGGGACCAGGTATGACAGGGTGGAGCCCTGAGAAAGTGGCTTCTGGGGAGCACTGTACCAGGGCCAGGCAATTGAGGGTCCTTCTGAGTGCTCCATTCTGATCAGGAAACTGAGGGTGGTCACAAAGGCCTGGCCATGTTAGCTGAGGGTAGGACCTTATGCTCATACTGGGGATAGTATCTGAGGACATTGGGGTGGGGCATGACAATGTCAGAACCCAGACTTAGGGCCAAGGCTAGAGGATGGGATTTGAGCCCATACTCTAGGGATGACTCCTCAGTGAAGGCAGAGTCTGAAGTCACCTACTGGTGACTTAGAAGTGGGAAGAAGGTAGGATTGTACTATGGTTTGGATATGATTTGAGTGTGTCCTCTAGTTCATGTGTTGAAATTTATTCCCCATTGAGAGGTATCAAGAGGGTGGAAACAATCTTTCTATGGTGTTTAGAGGTAGGGTTTTTGGAAATTATTAGGATTACATAAAGTCATCAAGGTATAGCCCTTATGATTTATGATTTAATGCTGGTGGCTTTAGAAGAAGAGACCAGAGGAAACACACAATGCTCCCTATCTCTTGCCATATAACACACTTCCTACACTGCCTTGGAACTCTGCCAGCAAGAAGGCCATCACTAGATCCAGGGCCTCAACTTTGGAATGAACCAGGAGCCAATGTAGGTCTCTTTTCTTCATAAAGTTAGCCTGCCTCAGTTATTGATATCATAGTAATAAAAAACAGAATAATAAAGGTTCTATTTGCTAAAGAGCACAGGATGAGCATGGGCCAGGAGCTGGGGTGTAGATTCTGTACAGATGGTGTGAGCTGTCTAAGTCAGCACCCAAGAGTTGTATCAGTGGAGAAGCAGCTGGGAAGGCCAGCGACTGGATCTGGGCAGTCTTGTTGAGGTCTATGCAGATAGTAGGTGAGCTGAGCACAAGACCCAAGGAGTAAGAGCATGTCAGAGTTACTGGTAGGAGGCAGTGAGGCAGGAGGGCAAGTAACTGGTCTAGAGATCACCAGATCTGCAGAAGCAAGACAAGATTCAGATGTTCTGCCTCCCAATCTCAGTCCTGTCGCCCTGCTCCATGAGGGTCAGCCATAAGGGCAGTGAATGGGGTGGGGCCAGTGGCCCTCAGCCAGCTAGTGGGTTCTTACTGGCCAAGAAGTTTTTGGGGAGTATGGGAGGTATCAGCACCATGGGGAAACATCAAGCCTCCAGGGGCTCTAGCGGAGGGGAATAGGTGATGGCAGTTTCAGCTCTGCCAGATTTGTCCTGAGTCCTGCTGTCTGAGCTGCTGGGAGCTCTCCTAGAGCCTTGTGGCTTTTTCAGACAGCTCCAGATCACCTTCCACTCCAGATTGCCTTGACTGAACCTGAGCCCTAGGGTCCTGCCTAGAAACCATTGTGTGCAGTTTGAGAGATGTGGTCTTTCCCTGGGGGATAAAAGGTCTGAAGGACTGAACTGTCTGCTGGGGAAAGATTTTCAGGCAGTAAGCCAACAGAAAGCATGTACAGAAGGGCATGGCACTCTTGTCACCTGTAGGTGATAAAAGGGCTGCCACCTCAGACTTCCCTGAACTGAGCTCGCTTGCTGACACATACACTGGGCATTCTGGAGTTTTCCAGATGGTCACCCCTAAATTGCCTTCCATCTCTCTTTTCACATGACTTCCTCATGATCCCCTTTTTTCTCCCACTTCTCCTTTTCTTTTTATCCCAAGAGGAAGGAGGAAACACCAGGCCCTGGGGGTGGAGAAGGTTAAAGTCTCAGTGCTTCATGATAGAGGGTCAGGCACACACGTTCTGGTGTCAGATTGTCTGGATTCTAATCCTGACTCTACAATTTACTGAACAGTATGAACTCAGGCAGGTTACCTGACCTCTCTGTGCCTTGATTTCCTTATCTCTAAAATGGGGATTATAATAGTACCTCGAGTGTTAGTAGGAGGAGAAAAGGAGTTAACATATGCGAATTGATTAGAACAGTAACTAGCATGCAATTAGCACCCAGTACTGTCTCCCTGGCTGTGTTCTATAGCTCCCTTCTGCCTCTCAACTCTCCACCAGCCCTGGGATCACAAGAAGCAGAACAACAAAAGCTCACCAAGGATTAGGTTAGCTAGTGGGATAAACTTCCAGCCACAGAGCTAGAAATGAGTCTGGATCCTAATATAATCTAGAGGATTCCAGAATCCTGACCATGTTGCTGCAGGAGCCAGTATCCTGACATCAGTGGTTAACATTTTTCTCTTCTTTTTCCCACCTTACAGAGGGACAGGAGCATGAAATAAAGTTTCTGGTTGACTGTTTCATTTCAGTCTCTTGTCAATTTCCGGGAAAGGGCAGGGCATAAGGTATTTAGCTAAAACTTACAGAAATATTTGAATAGGTTAAAGGAGAGAGGAGGAAAGAATGGAAAGGGAGGAGGATGAGGTAAGAGAAGAGAGGTTTTTTTTTTTCCTTTAATTGTCTGGGATGGTTTGTAAAGTCCTGGCATAGTGGGAGATGGAGGGGGGACAGCACCATGTGACCTCTTAGTCCTGAAGTTGGTTGATAGAGAATGAGATTCCATTTTAGACGCTGTACACAGTCAAACCTTTTAATGATGTAGTCTTGGTGGGGGTCTGTTCAGGGAGGAGGACCCCTGAAGGGGTGCTTCCCTGAACCACAGCCCCCACAGTTGGGCTGTCCTCCCCCCTCCACCCCTTTGTGTGAGTGACCAGAGGACCTGTAAGACCTCACTCCCTTTAGGGCTCTGTAAGGCCCCTTTGGTCCTCAGAGTCCATTCTTCTCTTGTGCGGAGGCCTGGAGTGGTACCATCTGCTTCTGCTGCTCTTGCTGTTGATGCCTCGGTTTCCCTCTCCTCCTGAGGGCAGGAAAGCAGGTCTCTGTGTATGTAGCCTCTAGGCCAGGGCTGGGAGAGGGGGTGGGCTCTCCGCTTAGCTGTGCCCAGCTACTTGCTCTCTGCCCCAAACATCTACTGCCCTCAGAGTTAGGAACCCCAGGAAGGATTGTGGGAGAACTTCCACAAAGGGCCTTTCTGGAAGATGAGGCCTAGTTTGGAGTCTCTGCCACACCAGCCTGGATGTGTGACCTGGGGTAAGTCCCTGCTCCTCTCTGAGTGAAGGCCCACCTGTTTTCCAGGTCCTGCACTGTATCCGGCAGCGGCTGGCCCAGGGTCTCTGGGAGGAGGGCGGTGGCCGCACTTGCGGCAACAGGGACGGCGCCATAGATAAAGAGAGGCAGGGTGGGGTAGAGCTCGGAGGTCATGCTCACTAGCGGGCTTACGATGCTGCCCACTCGGGCCATAGTGCTGCCCATTCCCAAACCTGTCTGCCTGTGGGGTCACGATGGGGCACTGGTTAGAGCTCTGGCATGAGTACGGAGGTGAGGGCCACATTTGGAGCAGGGCAGCTAAGGCCTAGACCAGTACACCCTCTGGTGCCTTCTTTAAAGAGTTGGCATTTGTTTTGGTGATTTTTTAAAATGGGAAGTTGGGAAAGGTTCTGGCGGGAGAATAGGGGACTTTAAGATTGAATTTTTCCTGTGCCCTTAACTTGCTATGTGACCTTGGGCAAGTCCCTTTCGTCCTCTGGGCCTCAGTTCCCTTAGATGTCAAATGAGACTGACTCAGGTTAAAAACTGCTTGGGGTTAAACGCAAACTTCATTACTTATTAGCTGTGTGATCTTGGAGAAATCACTTAATGTCTTGATTTTCACATTTGTAAAATGGAAATAGTGATAGCAGTTGCCTCACTGGCTTGTTATGAGGATTAAGTGAGTTAATATTTGTAAAAACCTTAAAACAGTGCCTAGCACATGTAAATGCTTTATATCACTGTTCTTTCCCCTGAAATCTCGAAAGGGCGTGGGGCAATTCCAGTGACTTTCAGGGTTCTCATTCCAAAGGGAAGCCCGTGCCAGGAGCATGACATCTTATATCCTCAACATCTTAAGTGAATTTTGCATCCAATTCTTAAAATAGACACATTTCTTAATGCAATAATACCAACCCCCCATCCTGGCACTCAATAAAGTAGTGTTTATTCATACTGCTGGCATATTATCAGGTGTGGTTTCTGTGGTAGAAAATTACATTTATGTTTGTGTCTTTGGTCTCAGAAGTACCAGTTGGTTTAAGACTGAGTTTGTGTTTGGTGGCAGCTTCTAACTTGTGTCTCAGAAAGTCTTCAGTTCATTGCCTCTGAGATGCACCTCTCTGGTTCCCTACCTTACTCCAGTGGCGACTCCTTTTGAGATCTTCTTGCAGGGTCAATAAAGGATGTGCAGCCACACCTGGGTTAGTCAGGCCATGAAATATATAATGAATGGCTCCTACGTGCCTGGCACTGATTAGTGTTGGGTACTGTACTGTACTCAGAGGTCTGACCTTAATGTGAGCAAGAGAATATCTTTCTCCATATTCTTCCCCAACTAAGCTTCCACTCACCGGATCATTGTGGGGTACAGCTCCCCGGTGTACAGGAAGATGCAGTTGAAGGAGGCAGCCAGACAGCCCTTCCCCAGCACAGCAAGGGAGGTACGGACAATTGTCTGCTCTAGAGAGAAAGGAGGGGGACAGCAGGAGCTTGGGAGTAAGGGCCTGGAGGAATTGATCTCTTTTTCTTCTGAGAAGTTGGGTTGTATCTATGGAGGAGGCTGAGAATGAGGGGCCATGCTCACCTTTGGGTATCACTGCATTCACCAGGATGCAGATGCCTGCCAGCAGCAATGAGGCCATCTGTGCAGGCCGGCGACCAAGGGAGTTGATGACGAAGAAGCACACGAACTTGGCAGGCAGGTCCACAGCACCAAAGATCACTTGGATTAGGTAGATGCTGACCCCAAATCCCTGCAGGTCCATGACTAGCCCATAGTAGGCAAAACTAGTGGCAAACCTGGTGGGAGGGTTACGGAGTTTGTCAGGGAGGGTTAAAGGAGGATGCTCTTTCAAAAATGGTGTGAGCTGCATTGAGGATCCTATTTAAGGACCTGGAATCTGCTTTGGCTAGTATTTCTTCAGACATTTCACAGCATATTAAAACTGCACAGTTTAAGTATTGGGGTAGTCTTCTTATACTACAAATTTCTCTCTCTCAAGTGTATTAGGAGCTTTTTACTTAGTTGCTATGTAGTCGTTATATATAAGATCTACATATATACATGTATGTCTATCTGTGTTTGTCTATCTGTCGGTATATATGAATGATCTGCTAATGCTGGGCTGAGGGAGAACAGATGGGTATCTACGCCACATCTTTAGGGGCAAGGTGTTGGTAAAGGCCGACACTGGGACCTGTCCATGGTCCTGGCTGGGATAACTGTTCTTAAGATGTTAAAAGCCCACAAAATGAAGCTCGGGTTTTTGGGTAGAACCCACAATTGAGAGTAAATCCAAAATTGGAATTAAAGAATTCATTGGCAGGATTGTTCCTCCTGACCACGCTCCTCTTGACTGTCGTGTGATTGCCATGGTGATGGGAAGGAGGATAGCAATAAGGATAATGAGACTGTTGCAAATGAAAAGGAAGATTTTAGGCTTCTGTCATCCTTGGCCAGAGTGTGCTTTCAGAGATAAGTGCTGGCCCTCTTACTGCCTATGCCTGTGTTTCTGGCAGGCACCACCAGGACAGTAAATTCTCCCAGTGTTTTGTAAGCCAGTGTATTGACTCCAGAGGCCACAGGTTCTGGTGAGATGTTTTTATACTGAAACAGCGTTGGTGAGAGGAGAAGAATCTGGGGAGACTGATATCCAGTTTGAGGACTAGGACTGAGTTGATCTGGGAGGGGCTCTGGTTCTTCAGGACTCTTACTGCTATAAGCAGGTCTGCTGACTTTTTCTCCCTCTCACATCTTCTGTCCATTGCACCCACCCCCTCGTCAGTTTTCCTTTTGTCTCCTCATCAGTCTACCTGCCTGTGTGTCAGTCTGTCTGTTTGGGGCCTACCATAGCATGGAGAGGCAGAGGAAGAGGCGCCGAAGGGCAGGGCAGCGCAGCAGCTCTATGGCCGAGGCCTGGACTTTGCTCAGAGTCAGCTCCTTCTGTAGACTGGCGCGGAGTACCTGATGGGATGGGCAGGACTCAGGGCCTGAGCTCCTTCCAGGGAATCCTCTTAGCCTAACCCCATACTCAGAGATGACCCCTGGGTCCTGGGTTTTGGGTTGGAGCCATGATGGGGTATCACAGGAAGTCTCGGGGGGGTCTCACATCCATACTCAGCTTGGCCCCCTCTTCCTGCTTTCCATTGATTCGAGCCACTCTCTGCAAGGCCTTCAGGGTGAGGTCCAGCCTCCCAGAAGAGGAGTACCAGCGGGCAGACTCGATGAAGAACCTGGGAGTGAGGATGGAGTGAGGGGCATCAGCATGGTCTCAGCTCCAGTCGGCAGGGGTCTTGATAAATCCCCTTCTCTAAGACTACAAGACAGTGCCCAGCTTGGTAATGACTTATTCCCTAACCGAGATGCTGGGTATAGAAAGCAGTGCAGGCAGGCTGGAGAACTGGGGGATGCCAATGAACTGGAAATCCTAAGGCAAAGCTTTCTTCCCAAAGCCTTGGACTCAACATCTGTGCCATGGAAACATTGGATTAGGTTTGACCTTTTGGCTTTGGTTGATTCTGTGAGGTGGTGTGCGTACTCGACTCTGGGAGATGTCCTGTCCCTTATAGTTCTATGGGCTCCTGTGGTACCATCTCCCACCTAAGGCCCCACATACCACGAGTAGATGAAGAAGGCAAAAAAAGGTACAGAGACCAGCAACTGCAGGTGGCGCCAGTAGGGCACAGCATAGGCCACACCAGCCAGGAGGAACTGGCCCAGGCTGTAGACATAGCCAATCAAGGTGCCCACATGGGCACGCGTGTGGATGGGCATCCACTCCACATCTGGAAAGAGGGTTAGAACAGGGAGGTACAACTAGCTGGGCTGCTAGATGGGAAGAGACCTCCCCTTTCTCCCTCCCAACCTTGGTCTTTTCCAAGGCTTTGTGGAAGATGCATCAAGTAACATTGGATGCCAGGGTAGGGAGAGTGGGGGACTTTTGGAAGAGGTAGGGATAGGCAGGAACTTGCCCCCCCCCCATACTCCTGCTATCCCTGCCCACCTTTACTACCTGGCTAGAACTCCCTTTCCCTTCAGACCACTCAGCCTATCCCCAACAGCAGCCACTCTTTGGCTCTTCCCCTGCTCTGGGCTGGATTCTACCTTCAGTAGCCATCACAGAGGCTCTTCTCCATCTTATAGCATCGATTGAGGTGGGAGTATGACCACCTTTCTGCTGCAGTTTGATAAATCAGTTGGGTTCTTTGTGTGCTCCTGATTTGACTGTTGGGACAGACACTTGAATACTTAACATTGACTTGGGAGCCGAATTTTTAGATTTCCTGTGCTGGCTCTAGCCCAGTCCTGGCTGGCTACTTCCTTTAGTCCTGAGAATACCAAATGCTTGGATTCCTTTCTGGGTTTGAGAGATGATAGGTAAATTATTTCCCTTCTCCCAGCTTCAGGTTTCTCATCTGAGAAACAATTTGTGTATGCATCTGTGTGTGTGTGTACATCTCTGTGTCTCTCTCTCTCTCTCTCTCTCTGTGTATTGTGTGTATGTGTATGATCTATCAGAGGAAGCACATTGATGGCCCATGAATAGACTATTCTCAGTCCATAAATGTGTTTGGCTTCTACGTTTAGAAATATTAGAGATGTTGGGTGTGGTGACTCATACCTATAATCCCAGCCTTTTTGGGAAGTGGAGATAGGAAGACTACAGTTTGAGGCCTGCCTGGGAAAAAAAAGGTAAAGCAAAAAAAGGGCTGGGGATGTGGCTCAAGTGTAAGACCCTGAGTTCAAAGCTCTGTGGCAAACTTCCACACACACAAAAAGAAATATTAGATCCAATTGCAACATTAAAAAACTGGGATATTTTTCATTTATCCAAAAGAGGGGAAGGTGATATAGTCTTGTAATCTCAGCACTCAGGAGGCTGAGATGGGAGGATTGAGAGTTTGTGGCTAGCCTAAGCTACATACCTCAAAACAAAAGCAAAACCAAACCAAACCAAAGACCCTCCCCCGCCCCCCCCCCAAAAAAGAAAGGATGGGGTTAGAAGATCTTACTACCTTAGGTTGTTGTGGTTGGAGTCTCTGGATAGGAGACAGATGGTATCTTCTTTGTATACAGTCCTCACTACTCCCTAATGCTTCTTCTGTGTGTCCTGCTTACATGATCTGCTGGATCTAACTATGGCGTCTACAGTTTCATTTCTAAATGAGGGGTCAAATGGCATAAGCCTGAGAAGTAGGTTCTTATATTGATATTGGTCGAAAGGGCGGACCCAAGGAGAGGCCAGACAGGGCTCAGGAGGGATGGGTTGGGAAAGGAGGCTAGGAAGGGGGCAGGGTGGTCAGAGGGGAATGGGTAGGTGAGCATTCCTCACTCAGCGTCATGGTGTTGATGGAAATGCTAGCCAGAGACATGCCCGAGAGGAGCCGGAAGGTGCAATAGACGGAGAAGTTGGGTGCATAGGCTGCACATATTCCAGACACGGCTGTCTGCAGGTAGTTCAGAATCAGCACCTTCCGGCGGCCCAGCCTGTGGGGAAGGGAAGACCTGAGGAAGGGGCCTATGGACTTTGGGGAGCCAAGCTGGGTTGGGTGGGACAGGAGTACCTGACCTGGGTGAGGCCCTGAGCTGGGGTCTTTTGAGGAACTATGAAGTATTATGAGGCTGGCATTGTAAGCCCTCAAACCAGCCAGCCCCCACCGGGAATGCAAACTCCCACCTAGATTCCCTGTATCCAGCCAATGGGACCCCAATCACAGCCCAACCCTTTGGCTTACCCAGGACTGACCTGTCTGCCAGGTAGCCGAACATCATGGCTCCCAGTAGCACCCCTGTCATGTACAGGGACTGGGCCAACTGACGTAAGGCCCTGTGGGAGCATACAAGGTTCCACTATGGGAAGAGGGGGACAAGAATATGCAGAGATGAGTTTGGTTGCAGGGAAGCCTCCTACCCACCTCAAGGCTGGTCTTCTGGGATCTATGTCACCCTCTTCCCCTAACACTTTCCTTTGCTTTTTGCCTTTCTGGTCCAGGTAGCTGAGAACATTTAAAAAAAACTCAGCAGTTTCCATATCTACTTTAAGTCTGAATGGCACATGGAAGGGGTCCTTACCTCAGTCACAATAGTGGAAGGGAAGGTGCTGTTGTCATACATCCAGCCATCAGTGCACGGTTCTGTGATCCTGGTGCCATTATCCCCTGTGCCATTGGGAAAGGGCATTCCCCACTGGGGAGAGGTAAAGCGAAGGCAAGGCTCAGGCCTCCCTTGCCTATCTTGGGGGATCCAGGCTTCTAGCCCCCCATCCTTGCTGAGGTTAGCGTTGGCAGGTGGGCGGCAGTGATGGGTGGGGATGGCGGCAGTGAAGTTCTGCAGAGTGTTGTGGGAGGCCAGCAGGATCAGGGGAAGGACCACCAAGGTGACCTGGATCAGCTGGAAGCGGCCGACGCCCCCCACCTGCTTCAGGAGGTCATTGAAGGCCATGGGGCCAGGCCAGGCCAAGTGGCCGGGGGTCTGTGGACTTCCAATCCGGGACTTCTGTCTGTCTGCCTGCCGTCCTTCGCCTGAGGATCAGGGCTGCTGCTGCCTCTGCAGCTGAGTGGCTCCTGTAGCTGAAACTGAGCTGGCTCTGTGGGGGCACCACAGCTTGGTGGGCTGCCCCTCCTTCTTTTCTTCTCTCCTGGTTCTGTCCCTCCCTTCCCCTTGCAGCTTCTCCTCACTTTGGGGGTCGGGGATGGCTCAGCTTTCAGGGTCTGCTGGAGCCCTGACCCTTACACTGGCAGTTTTTAATCTTTGGTCTGACGAGGATGAGTTAAAGTGTGACTTGGTATCAGAAGGATTAACCCTCCGAGTAATTCCTGTGTCAGTGGAATTTCTCCAAGTGAGCATAAAGGGCAGGAGAGGGTGAATGGAAATGGGAGTGAAGAGAGGTGATTTAGGGGGAGGGTCACATGAGCATTTGGGAGCAGAAGGGGCAAAGTGGGATCGCTGGGAAATGTGGTGGACTCTTGTGGGGTTTCTGTCCTTTTTAAGTGGACAGAATCCAAACAATCTGTCTTTAAGAAGGGTTGCCAGAGAAAATACAGGAGGTCTAGCTGAATCTTCACTTCAGATTAATGAATACTTTTTTAAAAGTATGAGTATATCCCTGATATCATATCGGACATACTTATACTAAAAATTATTCATTGATTTGAAATTCTTATTTGCTAAAATTGGACAGCCCCAGTCTTTGGTCTTCTAGAGATAGATATCCCACATCTTACGAACTAGGGCTTTGTTCAATTGGAAGAAACAATAGAGGTCAGAGGCTGCTCTTGATGGAGTAGGATCCAACAGTAACATCATACCTCATGTGGCCTCACTCTTCCATGGTAACAGCTTTCATCTTCTTGATTTATCTTGATTCAAATTTTGTCATGTCTTCTATTTTTTTTAAGCAATGAGCATGAACTTATTTTTAGCCATTTGACATCACTCGAATTCCTCCAAAAGTTTTTGGCTCCTGAGTCCTGGTCACTCACGATCAGAGCCAGCATCAAGCTCTGATTGGATAGATGTCCATGGGATTTGATTGGTTGGATCATGGAATGAGGATGCTGGGAGCAGGTTGCTGCTTTTTGTTTTTGACTTGCATAGTACGTATTATGCAAAACAGTCTGCTTTCCGCAGTCTCTGGCTGTGCAGCAGGGGCAAGTCATTAAACTCATGTGTACCTCAGTTCCTTGAGTTGTTGGTTAAATGAGTTAATATGGGTACCAAGCTTAAAGATGCTTTTAGCCAGGTGCCTTGGTATACATCTGTAGTCCCAGCTACTTGGGAGGTTGTTGTGGGGGAGGGACTAATTGAACCTAGGAGCTCAAAACTAGCTTGAGCAACCTAGTGAGACCATGTAGCAAAAACCAACAAGAACACTAAACCAAAGTCAAACTGAACCAAAGAAATAAACAAAAAAGAAGCTTTTGCCCCATAGCTCTGTGATTAAGAGCTCTTATTTGTTTCTGATAAACAGATTATTATCAGAAATTATCACACTAATTTTAGAGGGAACATATGCCTAAGCACCATCTTACCCTAAGAACAGTGATTCTCCACTGGCGGTGATTTTGCCTCCCCTCAAGGGACATGTGGCAATGTTCAGAGACATTTTTGGATGTCACAGCTGGGGAAATGGATGCTACTGGCTTGTAGAGGGTTGAAGCTAGGGGTGCTATTAAGCAAACTATAATGCACAGGAGAGGGTCCCACAACCAAAAATTATCCTGACGCAAAGTGTCAATGGTACTGGGGTTGAGAAATCCTACCCTAAAAAGATGTCTCAGTTATTTTGAATACCAACCAATCTCATACCTGTTTGGCCAGGGAAATTCCAGTCATATATTTGACTCTTACCAAAATATTTCTAAAATCCAGGTGCCAGTGGCTCATGGCTATAATCTTAGCTACTCAGGGGATAGAGATCAGGAGGATTGCAGTTTAAAGCCAGCCCAGGCAAGTAGTTTGCAAGACCCTATCTTGAAAATACCTAACATAAAAAAGGGTTGGAGGAGTGGTTCAAACGGTCTTAGATTGGTTCAGACCTATTCTGGTACCCCTTTTTCTTTTTTTCCTTTCCTTTCCTTCCCTTTCCCCTGTCTTTCTTCCCTCCCTTCCTCCCTTTCTTTCTTTTTTCCTTCCTTCCCTTTTTTTCTCCTTATTTCCTTCCTTTCTTTGTTCCTTCCTTTATTTTTTCACAAGGTTCACTATGTACACTATGTATCTCAGGCTGACCTTGTACTACTGATCCTCCTTCCTCAACCTCCTGAGTGCTGGGATCATAGGTATGTGCCACCACACTTAATTAAAAGATGATTTCTTAACTGCTGCTCTGGAGGTGTGGACTGCCTAGCTGAAAGGGTTTTGGAGATGATCTGGTTTCATATGTACAGAAGAGAAGAGGAAAGGCCCAGAGGGGGATGTTCCTCAACTCAGCTTCCTGTCCTGCCCAGTTTTGGCTCTGGTCTGGGCCCAGCAGGTATCTAGATGTCTGATAACATTCTCTAGGCCAAGACATATAAGAGCCTGTGGCCTGGGGAGGCAGAACAGCTGGACAAACAGTTTAGGGACTATAGGGCCAATCCCCTGCCAGGACTTGGTGCCCTCCTGGAGGAGTGGGTGGAGTGCCGAGAGCAGTGGGGGTAACGATGGGCCCCTATGAGGCACCCTCCCTCTCCAAGCCCATGTCTAACCTGCCTTGGACAAGAATGCCTTCAGTAGCACCTGACCAGCTCCAAGCCTGACTGAGTCAAGAGAAGGCTCTAGTGGAGACTACAGACTCTGAAATATGGTTGGCTTCTGGGATCATTCACTCGGCTAAGGGATTCCCCGGCAGTCTCCCAGCTTCTAGAGAGTTTCTAGATGCAAATGTTCCCATGGCAAGTGATTTGCTGAGCCAGGAGAAGTCCCTCAAGGACCTGTGGGTCACTAAAAACTTAGAATTGGACTCCCTTGTACAAACTGAAGTGTGGACTTTTACTCTAGATATGCTTAGTAGGAAAGTATCAAAATCTGAGAATTGCAGTGATGGGGCAGAAGCTTCTTTTTCTTAGAGCCACAGGGTCACACACCATTGGAGTTGAAACCCCTGTCTTTCTATACAGATAACAACACTGAGGCCCAGGTAGGCAAGAGGTTTGTCTGTGATCAACAGCAAGCAAGCCTAGAATTCAGCTCTCTTGACTCTGTTGTTCTTCCCACCATGCTAGCAGCCATCATACATCCCAGATTTTTTGATGTGGTATAACTTTATTCTGTTAAGTACACAGGATTCAATGTGAGACTTCATGTGGGTTTTATTATTTTGTGATATTTTTCAAACAAATAATTTATAGATCAAAGAAGACACTCTTTGAGACCCTATCTTGAAAATACTCAACACAAAAGAGGACTGGTAGAGTAACTCAAGTGGTAGAGTGCCTGCCTAGCAAGTGTGAGGCCCTGAGTTCAAACCCCACTACCACCAAAGCAAAAACAAAACAAAACAAAAACAAAGAAGACACTCTTGCTCGGATCTAATGTCCTAAGCTTGCATTTGAAAGGATCCAGATATTTCAGCAGACTACATACTCCTGCCAGCTTCACAGCGACATTCTGAGCCAAACTGAATTCTAAGCCTTGTGTCCTGGCTACCCTGACTGGCAGACATTATATATTCACCCAAAGGCTGCCACTTATTCCATAGACTTAAAACTAGTGGTCAATGAGGTGGCCAAGTGTGAGGACTCTGACCAACAGGGGTGTTCCATATTATGTGGTGATTCACTGAACCAGTGAGAGTCCCCACTCAGGGACAGAGAGAAGGAAGTAGAGGAAGCAGGACTTGTTGAGGTTGTAGAGTAACAGGAGCAATCGAGAGAACAAGGAAAGGGGATTCAGTGGCTCATCTTGACGATCAGTCCAATTTACTGTGAGTCTGACCATGTGAATGGGAAGTGCTTTCCTAGGTGTCTTCCTTTCCTCCACTATGTATCTGTAATAAATACCCTGAAGCAGGAAAAGAATAGTCATGGGCAGGAAATTAAGGAGCCACCCTGAATTCTGGACTACTGAAAGACAGGGAGAGTGTGGAGATAGGTCTCCCTCTGATGGAGAGCCAGTGAAACCAAGGAGAAGCGTCGCTGGCCCCATTATAGTCTGATTCTAGGTTCCAAGGTAGAAAAACTCCATGGATAGAATCAGGCTCCAAGGTAGAAACCAGGTGGGGCCTGGTAACCTTCAAAGTAAAATTCAGATCACAGTGGGCAGTGAGGCACAAAGCTTGTCATGGGTGCTAGTCCTAGATTATTTAAGGGTTGGCAAAGGAGGGGGGGCTCTGCATCCAAAATTATTATAAATGGCCAGTCCCATCAATTTCCTATAAGACTGAGTGACAATAGGGTGGCAGGGGGAATTCTTCTGCCATGCTTATTCTCTCTCCACCTGGCTCTTGTTTCCCTTCCCTGACTTACTCCCCTCCCATTTCCTGCTTTCTTGGCTCTCCTACCAAATAAACTACTTACATTCAAATCCTTATTTGGGGTTTGCTTCTTAGGGAGACCAGAAGCCACAACTGTAACCACAATTCAGTATGTGATAAGCAGGGCACCTAACCCAAGGCTCTGGGGAACCACAGAGGATATTTTTGGAGGAAGACACTCAAGGTCAGACCTTAAGGATGAGTTGGGATAACCAAGTGCAGTGGGAGTCAGATTATTTAAAGAGGTCAAGTGCTGGTCATGTGTGAAGGGCTGGGGCAGTTTGTGAACTGAAAGAGATGGTGAGGCTGGATTTCAGGGTGCAAAATAGGTAGTGTTAAAACTGAAGCACTGAGGCAGTTGGGGCTTGATTTTGGGGGCAGGGTTTACAGGAGGGTTGAAACTTTATCCCCATGGGAAGTCACTGAAATGTTGAAGCAAGAGTGCAATACAAACCTTTTCATTTTCATTAACTCTCTCAAGTCTCTAAATATAGATTTGAGAGTAGTCATTATCTCTGTGATTGATAATTAAAGCCCCGGAGTATGTTGGATTTGTTCAGTATGGTAGCCAGTAACTACTACTGAGTGCTTGAATTGAGTGACTCCAAATTGAGATATTCTGTTAGTGTAAAATACGCACCAGATTTTGAAGGCTTAGTATGAATTAAAGACTAAAAACTATCTCAACAATAAGTTAGTCATTAGTTGAAATGATAATAGATGTATTAGGCTAAGTAAAATATATTGTTATGTATATATTATTAAAATTAATTTCACCTGTTTATTTATTTTTGTGTTTCAAAAACGACTACTAGAAAACCATTTAAATTTAAATTTGCATCAGGAAATCAATGTGAGTCAACTCCCTGTATAGCTATCCTTATCTCAAGTAGCAAAAACCTTTGGTCTTTCCTATTATTGCTTATACTCTCTTCAACAAAATTAGAGATAAGGGCAAAATAGTTTCTGCCAGGTAGCGAGGGGATGGGGGGGAAAAGGAGGGGGTGAGGGGGTTGGGGCGGGGGAAGGGGGGAGAAATAACCCAAACATTGTGTGCACATATGAATAAAAAAATAAATAAATAAATTTGCACCTGTGGCTCAAATTATATTTTCATTGGAATGTTAGAGGCAGAAGTCCTGGGAAAGAAGGGCCAAATCTGCTGACAGGCCTAGTAAGAGGAAGGATGAAAGGTGACCTATTGATTCAGCAAGGGAGAGGTATGTATAGAAAGTGAATGCAGAAGATGCAGACAGCTGCTTTATGAAGTTTAGCTCCGAAGAGGAGAAATTTTTATAAGATTGTATGGCACCTGGAAAGAGCTATAGGACCCACAGAGAGTTTAGTTGTTTGCTTTGTGAGTTTTGTTAAGATGCGAGACACTTGATCTTGTTTAACTGTGATAGACTGGCACTAGGGGAGGGGGAGTGGGTAGAGACCCAAGGAAGAAAGAGGATGGCTGCTGGTGGGAGAGGCTGGATGCAGAGCCCTGGTAGAAGGACCTTCTCTTGAGACTGGAAGGAAGTGAGGAACATGGTCATAGACGTTATTGGCATTCTGCTATGACTGAGGTTTTCTTAGTTAAACAGGAGATAAAGCTGTTCACTGGGTTCAGTACTGGTACACAGATCAGAGATTTGAGGTGAGCAGGTGAGGTGAGAGGACCCAGGATTGGAGCGTCCCAGCTTCTTTCTACAGCTACTCCAAGCTTGTTCAGTCATCAGTACACATACATGTTGGGATGTGTAGACATACACATGGTATTTACAAGCACAGGTCTGATGGACACATACAACAAAGTACTTTCCCAGTGATGGTGGAATGGTTCAGGAGGTAAAGTACCTGCCTTTCAAGCCTAGCAAGCATGAGGTCCTGAGTTCAAGCCCCAGTACCACTACATACGCGCACACACACACACACACACAAAAGGATTCATAAAGCACTCTTCCAAGCTATGACATGAATATCAAATTCATGTCTTAAAACTTAATCCCTGTGTGGTGGTATAATGAGATAGGGCCTTTTGGGAAGTGATGAAGTCATGAGGACTCTTATTATGATTTCGATCTTAAATGTTCCCCCAAAGTTCATCTGTTAAAGGCTTGGTCCCCAGTTGGTGGAGCCTTTGGGAGGTGGGGCCTAGTGGAAGGAATTTATGTCACTGGGAGTGTGCTTTTGAAGAGGATAATGGGACTACCATGAGGTGAGCTTTGCTTTACCACATGTTCCCTGCTTTATTCTCAAAGCAACAGGGCCAAGTGACCATGGATTGGAACCTTGAACTGTGAATCGAATCAACATTTCCTCCTTTTAAGTTTATGTCAATAATTTTGTCATAGCAATGGAAAACTAACAAAGATTTGTTCTCATGAATGGATTATTGCCTTATGAAATGGTGGAGGGAACCAGCTTTGGTCTTTTGCCTTTCCACTGTTCTGTTCGATGGGGACAGATCAAGATGGCCTTCACTAGATACTGAATGACAATGCTTTGATCTCACTTCCCAACCTCTAGAACTGTAAACAATAAATTTCTATTGTTTATAAATTACCTAGCTTGTGGTAGTCTGTTATAGCAGCACAAATGGATTAGCACACATGTACATGTGTAGGTATGTGCCCATATTTGTATGCAAATACAAATACAGTGAAGATGAACAGATGTGTGCTCACATATCCTCATGGTGGTTAGCCCTCTTCCCCATCCCCACTCAACATGGCTTGAGTTCTTTATCACTGTTTATTGAAATTTCACATCAAAAAAAAGATTTGGGGAAAGAAGGGGAAACTATCTGTTAAGGCTGAGTCAAAGGGCCTCAGGAGATGAGGGCTGGGTGAGTGGGGGAAAGTGACTGGTAGAGAAGGGAGATATAGAAGAATGGCAGAGCCTGGTTGCAGGGTGGATGAGAGGGTATGGGAAGGCCTGAGGCCAAAACTTTGAATAGGTCAGGGCTGGATTGGGGGCTCTGGTGGAGGTGGTGGTGGTGGAAAAGCCTCAGAAAGCTTTGTTCTAGGAGCATGTACTCATCCAAGGCCTCCCCTACACCTCTGAAGTGCCTGAGGAGCCCAGAGGCAGACAAGGCTATGGCTGGGATCAGTCTCTGGCGGGCAGGGAAAGGGGGTTCTGTTGTCCTCAGCTGGGGCCACGAGGCTTCAGAGGGATCCTTTGGGATGCCTTTTCTGCTTCTGGCTCCTGCTTTGTCCCCTTTGCTTGCTGGAGCCTAGAGATAGAGAACGCAGGAAGGGCCCTGAGCCCTGACATGCTTCCCCAAGGGGGAGCTCTGGTGTGGGCCAGAGGCAGTGAACTCACCAGCTTTCCATGTCTTCAATTGTCTCTGGCAAGGGCCGGTTGAGGGTCTCAAGCAGGAAGAAGGCAGCAGTGCCTCCCAGAATCGTTGAGGTCCCATAGATGACATTGGGGATGAAGGGCTGTATTTCACCCGTGATCTTCGCGAGTGGTGCTACCATGCTTCCCACTCTGGCCCACAGGTTACTAACGCCCATACCTGTTTGCCTGGAAGGGGTCAGAGTAGGGATTGGCAACCTCTGTGTGGGGTTGTTAAAGGATGGCCCTGGGACCTCTGGGTTGGGAGCCGAAGGATGCCACAGTCCACCTGGTCCTGTATCTTTTGCCTGGCCCCCACCCTAGGTCCAGCACCTACCGGATGACTGTGGGGTAGAGTTCACTGGTGTAGAGGAAGAGGCAGGTGAAGGAACTAGACAGGCATCCCTTTCCAAACACAGCCAGTGCTGTCCTCAGCGTCTGCATGTCTTCAGAGGGAAGAAAATGTGGTGGGCCTTGGAGTCCAGGAGCACCTGAGTGCTCACTGAGTGTACTCACTCCTTAGCAGACCTGTCTCCCTTTTGATATGGCTGATAGGAAGCTCAGATCCAAACTTAAAAGGTAACAGACCCTCTGCTATTTCTAAAGCTTTTCATGTTGTGTTCTGCTGTATTTGTGTTTTCCCCTGGCTCTGATTCCTTGTGCCCATTTATATTTTGTTGGATATATATATTCTTGTTCTAAAAGACACCAAATTCCTTTGGAAGGATATTGATGTATCAACAAACATCTATATAAAATAAAAGTGGTTTTCAAGGTCATGGTGAAGTAGGAGGTGAGGTATTTCTCCATCACTGGACTTTCTTATTTCTCCATTTCAGCTTGTCCTCTGGAGTGATGTCATCTAAGACATACCCAATCCCCAAGCAATTCCTCACACATCATTCTTTGTCCAGTCCAAGTTAGATCTGTTGAGGAGCTTTGATGTCATCTAGCCCAACTGAATGATTTTCTAGCAGAGTGACTTGAGCCCCACAGAGTACAGGGACCAGTTCAAGGCCACACAAGGAATTAGAGGCAGAGCCAACAGAGCTGGAGTCCTGGGTACCTCTACTTTCTAGCCTGTAGCAGCCTCTCCCAGAGGGTTCTTGGGCATCCCCAGCCTCTCACCCAAAGGCACAAAGATGAGAGCCAAGATGGCCCCTCCTGCCAGGAGCAGGACAATGGCTAGAGTGAGGCGCCGGCCCAGATAGCTTAAGGAGATGATGGTGATGAACTTGGCTGGGATGTCAACCCCGCCAAAGATGATCTGGAGGATGTAGAGGTTGACTCCAAATTCTTCCACTCCCATAGCCAAACTGTAGTAGGCAAAACCAGTGGAAAACCTGGAAGAAAGAGAAGGACTGGTTAGCACCTCATTTTCCTATCTCAGCCAGGCTGTGGCTGTTCTTGTACTGGTCACTGGGGGTTGGTGGAGTGGCTCAAGTGGTAAGAGCACCTGCCTAGCAAGTGTGAGGCTCTGAGTTCAAACTCCAGTGTTGCCAAAAAAACCCAAAAACCAAAAAACACACAGGTCACTAGGTTATGTGGGATGGTGAATAGTTTCATTCCTTATACCATCTGCAACTGTTTGCACTCTGCTTGAGTACAGTTTTGAGGTTCATGAGATTGTGTTTGGGCTTGGTGACAAAGTGCTGGGATTGACTGGCCATGTCTGACATAGGCATGATCTAGGGTGTCATGTCAAGGATGCCTGCAATTGACACTAGATGATAACAGGACTGGAGGGACTCTCAGAGACCAAAGGAGGCAGTGGTAAATTATTTTCCTTGATTAGATAGAAACTGAACATCCAGACTGGGGTAGGTGAAAGTCAAGCTGTGAACAGGGTCAAGAACTCCTTCTCCTCTTGGAATTTTGCGATCCCCTGTGCAAAGTGCTGGACAAATTGGATTCTATTTGCATGGAGAAGACCAGGATGGAGAATAGCCTCACAATCATATCACAGAAAGGCTTTTCCGATGCTGTAGAATGTCACACGGAAGAGAAAACTTGGGTGACACATAATTTCTGTCTAAAGTCAAAAGGGTTAGCCTTGCTCTGTGGGGTTCCAGAGGGAAGAGCTGCGACAGTTGGTGGCAGTGACAGAGAGGGAAAGCATGGGGGAAACTGCTGTGGCCAGGACGTAAGCTGATGAAGGGGTCTGGAGCACTTGTCCTGTGGGAGGGGTGTGACCCTAGAGGAAAGCGGACCTTGATGATTGGACCTGGGTGTTTGGGCAGAGATGCAACAGATTTCTGGGCTTGAGGCTGGGCCATGATGGCCCTCAGCAGTCATTCTTTGACTTCTTTTGCAGGTGCTTTAGGCCTTGCTGTTAGGTGATACTGTTGGTGGCTTTGTTCATCACCCCTGCTTTGGCAAGTATGGGCGGGGAGGGGTGGTGGCTTACCAGGCCAGGATGAGACAAAAGGTCACCCGACGCAGGATGGGTATCCGGATCAAGTCAGGTAAACCATACTTGACCTTAGCCAAGGAGATGTCCTTCTGCAGGTTGAATTTCAGCTCCTTTGGACACAGGAGAAGGAAGGGTGCTGTTAGTGGACAGAGGGCTAATTTGGGGATCAGATGGGGCAAGTGGAAGGGCTGGCCTCAAAGCAAAGTGCATAGGTTTCCCCCTCCCACCTGACTCCACACGCAGTCTGTCCCTGCACCTACCTCCAAGCTGAGCTTTTCCCCCTCCTCCTTCTTGCCATTGAAGGCAGCCACCCGTCGGAGCGTCTTCAGGGCCTTTGAGGACTTTCCAGACAGGACCATCCAGCGTATAGACTCTGGTGTCCACCTGGGAGGCAGAGTCAAGTCACAGTGACTCCCCCACTTCCAGAGCCCCTCTTGAGAGGCTAAGAACATCAACAACCAGGGACAATGGGTAGGAGGTTCAGAAACCTGAGCTGTGTGATTGAAGATTCCAAGACATTTAAACTTGGCTCATCTTTGCACCTGGACTGACTGTAGCAAGTATAAATTCCAGCATTCTCTTCCAGAAGAGCCTTTCCTTTGCCCCCCACCTGAGCTCTTTGTTGTTGTTGGGTGTCTTCCTTAGCTAGAAACTTCAGGCCCTAGGCTAATGCACGTGGAGCCTGGGAAGGAGACAGCATGGTCAGGGCTGGATAGTTAGAGGGTCCTGCACCTCTATCTCCCCAGCATTCCTTGAGTTCAATTCCCTGTTTTTCTGATGATGAAGGGGCAGGGCCACATTCCCAGGGCCCTCAAGTATTGGGCATTGGTCACCTGGCCTCAGGCTACACCTCTAGCCAGGTGGCTTCCTGGGTCTCTCATTACTCACCTGCATAACCTTATGCTTTCTGTTTCTGCTCTGATAGGCTCTGAGTCTGCTGTCCTCAAGATTCTCAAGGACTTCCTCCCACACATTTTGTCCAGGACCTGGACTCTAGCCTTTTCTTGAGAATAATGGCAGCATTGCCTTCCAATTAGTAGGCCTTTCTGTATGCCAGACCAACAAAACTCTGGGAAACAGGCGATATCCCCACTTTACTTCTAAAAAGTTTGAAGCTCAGAGTGGGTAAGATTTGCCCCACCGTTACACGGTGAAGGGGCCAAACTCTCAACTGTATTCAGCTGACCACCTGCCTCTGTTTTGTCTGCTGACCTGAAAAGGTGAAGACCTTTTCTGCTCCCATCCTAGTCTGTGGACATGCCTCTGGCTTTGTTCCGGACCTACTGACCTTCTCTCTTACCCCCAAATTGCCCATCCTGTCTAGGAGCTTCATTTTTGTTTTCAACTTGAGGTTTCATTTCAGTTCTATACCTTTCCATGTAACCTTTGCACAATTGGTTTCTTCTCTGAGCCTCAGTTTTCTCATCTGTTAAATGGGGACAATAATGCCTCCATCACACAGAGATGTAAAAAGGATCACAGACAACATAGGTGATTTCACAACTTTTCTTGGGCTTATTTGTAAATTCCAGTACTTTGACTCTAACAATGAGTTATGGAGGCTCATTTCTTATCTTTCAATGTGGCCTTGGGTTGGATGTGTTGATAATGAGTTCTCTACCTACTCTGGATATCCTACCCAGGCACCTGGATTCTCCCAGTGTTCTCAAGCTTGAGATCTTCTGAGGGCTTTTCTTTCCTTCATACTTCAAATCTGGAAGTCCCCAGATTCTGTAGATTCTTCCTTTAAATCTGTCTTTCAGATTTATCCCTCAGAATCTTGCCTATACAGTCTTCTCTCTTCTCTTGCTTTTTCTGTCCTGGGCCATTCTTTCACAAATGGTCAGGCCTGTCAGTCCCATAGACACCTTTGGTAGCTTTCCATCTTCCTCCATGTGAAGTTGAGCCTTGCTGGCTTTCTGTGCTCTTCACAGCCCAGCCTCTTCTTCAGCTGCAGGCAGTCCCCATTGGCCTCCAATACTTGTTCTCTTCTGCAACACGCTTTTGTGTACGTAGCTCCTCCACCATGGAGTGCCCTTCCTGGGCCCAAGGTGTTGGAGACAGAGTTGGTCAGCCAGGTTAGACATGAGATCCCCCTGTTTGGCCTTGGGATAGGGGACTAAGGAGGTAGGAGAAAAGGAAAAAAGGAGAAGGCCACATACCAGGATGTCAGGGAGAAGATGAAGAAAGGAAGAGACACGGTTAACTGTAGCCAGCGCCACTGGGGGATAGCGTAGGCCAGGCCGGACAGAATGAACTGGCCAATGGTGTAGAAGTACCCAATTGTTGTTGATGAGATGGCCCTCATCCCAGTAGGCACCCATTCCACATCTGTGGGAGGAATCCAAAGGCAAGATTAGGGTCCTGATAGGCCCAAAGCATCTCCTTGTGAAGGGGCTTCAGCTTCCACCTCCCAGTAGCTACTTGACCTCATCCTGATTTCAAGGCTTCCTCATGCCCATTTTATAGATGCTGTAGCTGAGGCTCAGGGAGGTAGGACTTATGCCTGGATCCATCTGCTCCCCAGTTCTTACTCTTGACTACTGCCTATTCAGTGGCAAGTGCCTTGCTTTGCCTCAATTTCCTCATCTGTGTGACAGATATAACAGCATCACTCACCCCATTGTGTGGGCTAAATGAGAAAGTGTACCTGGTAGAGTGCCAGGCCTAGGGGAAGTCCTCAATAGGACTAATAGCTGCCATCATTATGCTTGTGATTATTGTTAAGTTCAGAGGGACTTCTGAGGTTCTGAGAGGGGCAATACCTTGATCAAAGTTACAGGGAGCTCTCTTGTTGAGCCCCGCCCAGACCCAATCTCTCAGCTGGTATGCCCCAAAACCCTGTTCCTTGCCCCCCTTGTAGCTCACTCAAGATGACGGTACTCAGGCTAATGCCTGAGATGCTGCATCCACACAGGAAGCGGAAGATCATGTAGATGAGGAGGTTAGGGCTGAAGGAAGCGCTTAAGCCGCTGGCTGCCAGCAGCAGGTAGCTACATGTCAGGATGGGCTTGCGGCCAAACCTGCAGCTCAAAGGAGAGGAAGGGCCAGGTTAGCCACTGTGCATCTGCCAGGATGAGTGACTCTGCAGGCTTTGGGGCAAAGGGCTGGATACCCACCCCCACCCCAAGGACCAGATGGAGCATATGACTCCCTCCCTAGACCCTTGCTGGTAATTGCTGTTTTTCAACAAGTTTGCAGTTAAGAGAGTAGAGTTAATGAATTATTTTCTCCACCCCCAGCTTAGCTGACTGAGCAGAGGTCAAAAGACCACTTATCTCTAAGCAGTCCATCACCTTGCCTTCAGGCCATATAGCCACAACACTGTGTTTGAAAATCAGGCTTTTTCCTGGGTCTGGAAGGCCAGAGAACTCAAGTTGTAAGGACTTTGGGACCAAGTGAAGACTGGGGCCTGGAAGGGGACTGGGGCCTGCCAAGGCCACATGGCAAGGGTCATTCTTTCTACTTCCCCCAGCTCTTGCCTCCTTGGGAGTGTATGGGGGGGACAGAATGTCCCTGTGGGTGGGGTTCTCATGGGTTGTGCCCGGAAGTCTCACCTGTCAGACAGTTCTCCAAACGTGGGCCCTCCAATCAATATGCCTGCCATGAAGATAGACTGGGCCATCTCCTTCAGTTTGCCGGAGCTGCACACTAAGTCCCACTGCACAAGAGCAAGGAAGGGCCAGCCCAGCTCAGTGCAGCCCAGTCTTCCCAGTCATGCTCAGTCTGCTACTCCACACCTGTGCTCCCTGTCCCACCACCCTGGCATGGCTTCCCTGAACCTGGCCCCTGCCTCCCATGCACCAGTTCCTCCTTCCTTCTGGCCCTGGGGCTCCTTGGGTCTGGCTGTGGGTCTTGGGTCCCTGTCCCATGGTTATGTGATGATGGCATTCTTCAAGTTTGTGTGTGGTTTACTAAGACTGCTCAGTTGCCCCATCCACATCTGTCCTCAACCTTCCCCACTCCAATCTAGCCCATGTCCCTGTAGCTCCTTGCTCACCATCTCCTTTCCCCCACACATCTAAGGCCAGTTGCTCTGCCTGTGCCCTTGACTTCTTCCCTTGACCTCACCCTCTCTTCTCCATGGAGGCATTACATTACTCTATTGGTGTCACTTCCCACCACCCCATGCCTCAGTTTTTTTCTCTTTCCCGACTCCTCCTTATCAGCATTTGTGTATGTTCAAATTTCTGCACCTTAAAGTCTTTTTCCATACTCACTCCATTTCAACCCTCTCTGTTCAAGCCAAATCTCTTGAATGGGGAATTACACTTGCTACCACACTCATCCTCCTCTCATTTCTCAATTTTGCCCTGACCGGTTCACTGAAGCTGTGCTCACCAAAGCCACCAGTGATGTCTTTTCCACTAACACAATGGGACCCTCCATCTCCTGTCCTGGCTTGATCTTTGGTGCCAAGGTCACTGCTGATCTCTCTTTCTAGCTGGTTTTCCTCCTGCTCTTTATCACCCTTGGTTTTTGTTCCTGGGCTCCTTTGCCTTTGCCTAGCTTTTAAAGTTTCCCAGGGCTTCTCCCGGATCCTTCTATCTGCTTTCCCCTGGCTATGCCATCTGTCCCTACAGCTTCAATGACTGTTTATACTGAAGACTCCAAGTTCATTTCTCCAGCCCAACTTCTACCTCCAGGCCTCCAGAGTAGTAGATTCCTCTGCCTACTTGAAAATGCCCTGGATGCGGTCACATGGACATCTCAGACAGGACTTGTCACCTTATTCTTTGTAAGGTCCCAATCTCAGTGAGTGACAACCTTCTCTTTTAAAAATATTTATTTAAAATTTTTATATTATTTAGTCCAGTGCCAGTGGCCCACGCCTGTAGTCCTAGCTACTTGGGAGGCTAAGATTGGGAGACTCATGATTTGAGGCCAGTCCAGGCAAATAGTTAGAGGCAAATAGTTTGAGAGACCCCCATCTCCAAAATAACCAGAGGAAAATGAACTGGAGGTGTGGCTTATACAGCAGAGTCACTTGCTTTGCAAAATGCGAAGCCCTGAGTTCAAACAAACAGTCCTGCCAAACAGTTAAATTGTTTTAATTGATGTATCATAACTGTATTATATTTATGGAGAATAATGTTTCATTATGTTAGTTGACTAAATCAAACTAATGAATTCATCCATCATCTCACTTACTTGACATTTTTTGTGATGATATACTTGAAATAGCCTCTCTTGGTTATTTTGAAACCTACAATGCATCATGACTGACTATTAGTCATCTTGCTGCACAATAGATTTCAAAACTTACTTTCCATGTCTAACCAAAACTTTGTACCCTTTGTGCCTTTTGACCATTTTGACCCCTTCTCCTCATGCCCCATTCTCTCCTCTACTTCTAGGCATTCAACTTTTTTCAGTTCCACATGTGAGTGAGATCACGCTGGTAATCTTACTTGCTTGACTTTTCTCTCTCTTCTTACCCCATAATCACTTGACCCTCAAGTTTCTGCCATTTTAAAAACATTGGTTTTTTTTTTGCTCAATGGTTATTGTACCTATTGTCCATGAGGAAGTTTTTATTTCTGTAAATTCATGAGAAAATACTTTTCAATTGTCAATATGTCAACATTATTTTGTCAAAGCAATTTACAAAGCAATTTATACGTTGATTCAGAGCATATATAAGCAGAAGGTAGTTGAGGAAAATTATCTGATGAGGTGATTGCTTGATATGGAATTATTATTCTTTTATCCAGAAGAAAAGCAACAATTCAATGGTTTGGGTAAGCAGTAGGAGACAGCGTAAGTGTCTGAAAATATGAAGAAAAACATGAGGAATGAAGAGATATCCAGACAGAGTATTGACTGTCTAGCAAGTATTTAAAATATTGATTGATTTGTTTTGTTTTTAAGGAAAATGGAACAGGAAACTTCACAAGGCAAATGTTAAAAGAGACGACAAAAGTCAAGACTGGTAACTAGCAATACTATAAGATATCCAAAAAACATTTCTTGAATCTGGATTCTTATATTTCCACTTTTTGCCCTAGTATAGGCTTCACCATCTCACCCTTGGGTTATAGTGACAACTGGTATTTACTAAGGGCTGACTAAGTACCAGGCACCGTTCTAAGTAAGCTTTCTATATTTTACCTTTTTTTTTTGGTACTGAGGTTTGAACTCAGAGCCTCACACTAGGCAGGTCCTTTACCATTTAAGCCATGCCCCAGCCCCTTTTGCTTTAATTATTTTTTAGATAGGATCTGGTGGCATTTTTGTCCTGAGCCGGTTTCAGACTACAATCCTCTTACCTATGTCTCCTGTGTAGTTGAAATAACAAGCATATATCACTTTGTTTGGCTTGTTGGTTGAGATGGAGTCTTGCTAACTGTTTGGCTGGTCTGATTTTCCTGATCTCTGTTTCCTGAGTAGCTGTGATTACATGCATGCACTATAACACTGGGCTCTAACTTTTTTAATCCTCACAACAACCTTATTATGTTTCCCATTTTACAGATGAGGAAACTGAGACTCAGAGAGGATTACTGTGACAACCTTTTGATATGAGTCTCAGCTTTCATTCTTATCCCTTCTTTTCCATTCTTTCTGTGATGACCTGAATGGCTTTTACAACACTGACTCCAATCAGATTTCTGTTCTACCAAAAGTGTTCACTGGCTCCCTCTTGCCCCTTGAATAAAGGTAAGCTCTGCTGACAGGTTTATAAGGCCCTTCATGCCCTGGCTCTAGCCTACCTGTCTAGTCTCCTGCTAATACCAGCACACACCCTTTGCTCCAGCCATTATGAATTACTCGTGTAATGAAGTAGAGAATTTTGCTCCCTAGAAACGCTTCCCTAAGAATGTTTTGGAAGAAAAACAGTGTGAGGGAAGAACCTCATATCCTGGGGGACTCTTTTCTACTTTCCTCTTCTGGAAGTGAGGGAGAATGGGGGTGGATGAAGACTCTAGGTCCTCCCGCTGTCGCAGAGTGGCCCAGCATGGTAGGCAAGGCTAGTAGTTCTTTTCTAGCTGAGAAGAGGTCTGCATGGTATGGGAGCTGGTAGAAGAGGGAAGAAGATAAAGGAGGAAGTAAGGATGTGTGAGAAGCATGACAGTAGGTATCTAGAGATTTCTGGTACTTTGTGACATGCCATGTTTAAGTCCTTTAGGAAAATCTAAAGGAAATACCTACTGTCGATATAAATTCATTCACCCTTTTCCTCCCTAGCAAATAGCACATTTCCCAGGTGACCTTGTGGCTGGGTGGAGCCAGGTGTTTCTTGATAATGAAATGCCAGAGGAAGACATATGTACTACTTCCACTTCATTTGGTTAGGAGGGAATCTTTGGCCTGTACTTGTATACTTCCTTCCTGAGAGTGGGAATGGCAATAGCTGGAACAATTTTGGAAACCAGATATTAAAGATGACAGAGCTGCTGTCAATCTGGGTCCCTGAATGACCAGGAGAAGCAGATTGGTCAGCCATTAACCTGATCTACTACTCTTTTTAGAACGCTTACATAAGAAAGAAACACACATCTACATTCTTGAACCATAAATTGTTTACTCTTTTGTCATAGCAGCATAGCCTATCCTAATCCATCCCACAAGAAATTGGAAATGGAAATTAGATTTGTATCTCAACCTCCATAATACTTAGTACTTTAAGAATCAAGATTCTGTTTGGATCAGGAGGGGGTCAATGTCAGACCTGTTTGGACTAGTTGAAGGCTGCTACCTCCTCCAGTCTGAGACCAGATCTGCTGAGTCTTGGTTAGCACTGTGGGACTTGTAATCATGAAGGCTTTAGAATAACTGTCATAAGCCAGTTTACACCAGAAAATTGAGAAATGTATAAGAAATACCATTCACCATTCCTGAACTTTGAGTCATGCTTAGAATATGTAAAAATTCTTAAAGGTTCACAATGCCTGTAGGATCTGCTCCCACCTGTATCTCTTTCACCTCTCTGCTCTTACCTGCTACTGCTCACTCCATCATGTAGACCACTACAGCTGGTCACCTTGCTGTTCCATACACAAGTAAGGCAAGCACCGACTTCAGAGTCTTGGCATATATTATTCTCTTTGCCTGGAAGGTTCTTCTCCTGGACAGCCACTTGGCTTGCTCTTTTACCTCCTTCAGATTTTTTGCTCAAATGTTATATTTTCAATGAGAACTTCTTTGATCACCCTATTTAAATTTTTTTGATGGTTCTGAGATGCCCAGCTGTACTATATTTTCATTTTCCAAACAGTGCCTAGCACATAGTAGGCACTCGATAAATACTTGTGCAATTGAATGAGTAAACATTCCACAAAAAGAACAGTAGTGAGTCTTAGAAGTTAAAAAGAAAAGAGAGATTGTTATAAGGTCTACATTCCAAATGCCAAGAGAACCACCTCCTTTCACCAGAATGAGCATATGTCAGGATGGACAGTATTTAATACCAAATACCCAACCACATACCACAACCAGATTGAGAAATTTTCTGTGGTCTACAGGAGGGTTATTATCCTTTAGTAAACTTCAGAAGCTCAGAAAGAGTGCTTTGTGGTTAAATATTCTTTAAAAAATTGGACCTCAATTGCACTTTAAATTGCTCCTAGAGATTTCATGGTTAATGAAGCTCGTCAGAATGGGTGAGGAACTGTGGCCGTGGCTGCCCTGACTAGCAACACAAATCCGGGGAGTTCAGAT